GAATGGGCTGTGCAGGGTGCCGCCAGCCTGGGCAGGGGGCGCGGATCCCGGCTCGCGTGCTGACAGGGCAAGTGGCTTTTTGCCGCCCCAACCAAAAAAAAAGGGGGGGGCTCGGAGTGCCGCCCCTTAGAAAGTGCCGCCCCAAGCACATGCTTGGAGGGCTGGTGCCTAGAGCCGGTGCTGGGGTCTGTCTGTGTGGCGCTTGTTGTAGGCTCAAAACCTTAAAAAGCTGCTTAAGTTTACTCATGCATTAAGAAGTCTGAGGTAAGGTGTCTGAGTTAATTCAAGTGAATTTCATAGCCTGAGAGCCATGGAGACAGAAGTCTTCTATTAATCTGTAGAACAGGAATAGGTAATAGCAGAGCAATTTCCTCTCCATGGTCCTGTCTATGTCCCTCACTCCTGATCAGGGTAATATTGTCTCTCACTGTTGATGGCCCGTTGAAGCCTTAGCTTCTCTGCTGTGACTGCCAATAAGACTGTCAGTTAAGTTCCACATATGGTAGTGATATTCGTGTTGTGGAAAAATTTACCACACGTTGTGTTTGGATCAGAACAGCCTGAGGCTCCTTTATTACAAGCATGCAGGAAGAGACAGCCAGCCTGGCTGCTCTGCCCCCAAAAGGATCGCAGAAGCTCATATAGCTCAAAGGCAACATTAAATCAAGCCCACTTCCTTATTAATATTTTTCCCTTATTAGGAATACAGGAAAAACAAGCTTTCGTGTATATTAACAGGTTGTTCTTTTACAGTTAACGGCTTTCCTAACATTTGCTGTTGCAACTACATGTTTCTTAAGATTGGCTGTTGCAATTACTTTGCTTCGCAATTTTCCTCACTCTCTCCTTCTGCCCTTTGACCACATACACCTCTACCCTGATATAATGCAACCCAACATAACACGAAATCAGATACAACGCGGTAAAGCAGCGCTCCGGGGAGGGACGGGGACTGCGTGCTCCGGGGGATCAAAGCAAGTTCAATATAATGTGGTTTCACCTATAATGCGGTAAGATTTTTTTGGCTCCCAAGGACAGCGTTATATCGGGGTAGAGGTGTATACGTTTTCTTGACCAGAGATTAGGCCTACTCTTATTTTTCCTTTACGTTTGTAATGTGGACAGTTGTTCAATGGTAACCCAGACTGTAATCACCAAAAAACAATTAGAAGGTGACTTTTGATTGCTGCTACTAGAACCAGGGGGGAGGGATAGCTCAGTGGTTTGAGCATTGGCCTGCTAAACCCAGGGTTGTGAGTTCAATCCTTAAGGGGGCCACTTGGGGATCTGGGGCAAAATCAGTACTTGGTCCTGCTAGTGAAGGCAGGGGGCTGGACTCGATGACCTTTCAAGGTCCTTTCCAATTCTAGGAGATGGGATATCTCCATTCATTAATTAATTAATTAACGTGGGCTTGACAGCAATTGATGACCTAAGGATGACTGCTTGGAAAGAGGCAACAGAGTCTAGAGAGGAATGAATATAGGGATAAAAATCAAGTACCTCTGAGTTCTTTCTAACACTCACTCTGGTTCCAAATGATAACAGAATTTCCTCACTGTTGATGTTAATAAATATGTTGCCTTGTCGTTTCATGTCGTTGGGCATTTGTCCTGCATAGCAACAATGGGTATATAATTGCACTCAACATGTATACTTATCTTGCCAGGGGCACTGATTACTTGTTTGAGACTGAAGATTGACTTGACAACAAAGTTTTTGGATAATGTTCACTGAATTTTGAAAATTATATATTTAAACGTATCATTCTGTTTCCAAGGAAATGGAATGTTTATTGTGCCTAGATATCACATTTTGTGTTACGGGAGCTGGCCATTTCCAGGGAGTCAGGGACTAGCCTACCTGTGACAGGCTCCGCTAAGGAGAATGAGCCAACCCAGATCCACCTGTCAGTAGTTAATTACCCAGGTGGCTGGGTTGCAGTTAATTAGCTATAGAACACCAGGGCCTCATAGAGACTTATGAGGGCTCAGGCAGGGAGCTCCACACTAAGGCCTTGGCTACACGTGCAGCTGTACAGCGCTGTAAGTTAAACCTGTCTTCGTACAGCTGGGTAGGGAAAAGCGCTGCAGTCTGTCCACACTGCCAGCTGCAGCTGTGGCCACACTTGCAATATTTGCAGCTGTGTTGGGAGCGGTGCATTATGGGCAGCGATCCCAGCATTCATGTGGCTGCAACGTGCTTTTCAAAAGTGGGGGGGGGAGGGTGGATTGTGACAGGGAGTGTCGGGGGAGAGAGAGTGCTTTTTGGAGCATGTCAGCTCTCTATTTTGCAAGTTCCGAACTCCCAGCCCCCTGCTCATTCATTTACTCACTCAAAGCAAGCTGCAAACTGTTTGCTTTTCTCTGTGGTACGAGCTTTGAAACCGGCACTTCCGCATTCCTGCAGCCTGTCACAACAATGGAGAAGATTGGCCACTTGACAAGGTGATTAGTACAGCGCTGCAAGCGTTTACACTCGCCCCCGTGAGTCATAGCCACTCCGCTGCAGCTGTTGTTCCTCTCGGGGAGGTAGAGTGCCTGCAGTGGTGTACCCAGGGAGATACAGCACTGTAAGTGCCCTGCCAGTGTGAACGGGGAGTGAGTTACAGCACTGTAACTTGCAAGTGTAGCCAAGGCTTTAGAGAGGAAGCTCCTGAGGAAAGAGGCTTGTCAGGAGAGCTGGTTAGAGAGCTCAGCAGAAAAGGGAATCTAAGAGAGATGTTGCTGGGGCAGGGAGCAGATTCCAAAATATGCTACTCCAGAGAATAACTGCAATAGTTTGACCCCTGCAGGGATGCTGAGACAAGTGAAGGAACCCTTCCCCTGGTGATGGCAGCAGGCCTGACTCCAGAAGGGGTGTCACAATAAAGAGGCGAAGAGCCTGGGCAGAGGAGACAGGTGGACTTAGATGGGGAATACAGACTAATATTAACTTGCTCCTTCCAGCTAGGATGCTGGATCTGAAGACTTGCTTGCATGTGTGTTGGGCCTTGGATTAAATAAATTACATCCCTGAAGGGGCACTGTTGGCTACAGACAAGCCTAATTGAATTGCGTTTTAGAAGCCTGGCTGGAATGGTGCAAGAAGAGATGAGGGAGCAGAACAGTTGAAAAAAATGAGGGATTTCATAACTTACCAGGTCATTGCAGTTGTAGATTGTGTCCTAGGAAAATGAGGGGAAAGGTTAATGTTTTCCTTCAGAAAGTTGTACTGGGACAGAATTTTTACACACACACACACACACACACACACACACACACACACACACACACACACACACACACACACACACACACACACACACACG